CTGCTGAACAAATCATAGTTCCTTCAGAAGGGAAGATGAATTAAAATTAATTTTCTCAGGTTTATGTTTTTTTAACTAACCGTTTCTTGTCACAAAACAATAGAAAAGAAGCTGTAGAAATTGTTCTCATAAGCTGTATGTGCAAACAGTTCTGAGTCCTTGCGCTCCCTTTGATCTCTTTTGCCACTACACATGTAGTGCTCCTTTGACATTTCCAGAGCTGTGTTGATACCATCAAAGAAGCTGCAAACTGATTCTCTGCAGAAATGCAAATATAAACCACCTGGTAATTCTGATTTCTGTAAGAAAGCAAGCAAGCTAATAAAATTGTCTGATAAATGAGATTACAAGAAAATCAGCAGGTGGCAAATTTAATCTTAAGGTTTAACAAGTAATCATAGTCAATGGATTGTAATAAATTAAATACCACACTAAACCACTTGAATGGTGTATTGTCCACTAAGTTTATTTGGTGTAGATATTTTCTTAATAGCATTATAAATATTTGTCCAACCCTGGGTCAGATTCATGGCTCTACTTTAACATCTGAGGTATACATAAAGTGGATGTAAAACATAACCTGATGACTTTTCATATCTGTTTGCAGTAAAGCAACACCATGAGGTGTAGAGTAATAGCACAGAGGAGTTTGTACAGTAAAATAGTAATTCTTGTAGTAATACTGTCAGTGAAGTTCTGTTTCAGTACCCGTATAATGCTATTACAATTCCCTTGCCTCTGCATCTCTTAGTGAGGAAACATAAATGACAAATTTTAGTGCAGTGAATCTCATGTTTCCTAGGAGTGATTCTCAAGAGGCACAGAGCATGTTGCAGTTACAGAGCCATATGGGCATGTCAGGGAGTACCTGTTCTTATGTCGCCCTTCCAGTGACATTGGGGGAGATTAAACCCTTTTTTTAAAACAAGCCTCTGTGCAATGATAAGCCCTGCTGTTCCCTGAAGAAAAGCACAAGTGTCTGTCATTCATTCCTTCTCTCAAGAGAGAAGAGATAGAAAACTATTATAAGAGGACAGCTGAGGTATACATTTAAGTTCAGAGCAGGAAAACTGATTCAAAGTGCCACATACAGTTCAGTGGTGTAGGAGCATTTGCTTTCTATGAATCCTGATTTTATTTTCAAACAAAATACTACACTTTGTTGCTTTTCTTTGAAAACTGTTATACAATTTCGAATCCTTTGCATTTCTGTTTGATACAGTAGTAGTATTCATAAAACCTTCAGTACTAGAAGGAAGAATTAATCTTTAGCAGGATAGAGCTAGGGATGGAAATTGTTACACGATTTGTGCAGATTTATGTCTAGAACTATGGAAGAGCCAGCTGCATTGCAGTGTGGACAAGCTAAATACCACAATTTCTATGAGGTAGGCAAACTGTTATTTTATGACTTAAAACTGCAGAGACATGCCTAGAGAAGAGTTAACCACATGGCCAAGGGCACTCAATAGCTCCAAAACAATGTCAGGAATGCAGCTGCATTCACTATCATTCCCTATTCATGTTAAGCACAGACTGTTGTTTTCTTTGTATTGTTGTGTATGGCTCTGAGCCACAATTTATTTGCCACTGCCAGAGCTGCAGTTTCAGTAGAGGTTCTTACACCTGCTTTAGAGAAGCTAATGCCATGGTCCTACATGGTCCTACTTGTCTGTCACTGACTCTTAACTCCTGTGTCACTTAAATTGCTGTCCTATAAACCCACACTAAATTGGAAGTCTCACCATGCATACTTTTTATTAAAAACTAAATACACTAAAAGTATTCCTTCTAAAGACTTCTCCTTAAAGAAAATATGGATATGTTCTTGGATATGTTGGTTCTGTTCCCCCTTCCACACATACATCATTGTACAAAAAGAAGAAATATAATACTGCTTTGTACTGCTTTACTAGTTTAATGTGGTTCTTCAGCTCTGTGGCATGAATCAAAGCATTTTGGGTTCTTACACTGATGACTTCTCAGTGACCTTCCCAGTCCTTCAAATTTGAGTCCTTGATTTTTCTAAGAGCTATGCTTTTTTAGGTATTTGCCTTTCTTTGTGCACACCACAGACTTATCCAGCATGGCTAGCTACTGCACTCACAGGCTTTGTTAGAAAGAAAATGAAAGTGTACTTACACTGCTGGGGTATAAGAGTGGCAGAGGAAGCAGAAGAAGTGGAATGAGAAGAACAAGCAAAATATTTCTGGATCGGAGAATCTCCTTCATCACAGCCATAATCTTACTTTCTGGTGACTTTCTTCTCCTTAGGTTTCTTCTCTTGTTCCTCCAACTTCCACTTCAACTTCCACTCCACGTTTTCCTTCACCTGTGCCTGGATTTCTGTGAAAAGTCTCTCACTGCTTCATTTCCTATCTCCACCCGGTCACCTAAAATAGCTTTCTTAATTTATTTAGTCTTCAATCCGTTGTTTTGAAAAGATTTTTCAATTAAAAAGACATTCAGTTGCAGGGCCCACCAGCATCTCCAAATTATTGTCACACCAAAATTTGCAGAGGTTTGCAAGTTGGAGCATAGAGCTCTTTTGAAAATTTTTCCTTTTAATTCTGAATCAGAGGTGTATCTGTGTTACATCCTTCTCCTCATGTTTTTGAAAGTTTCTTTCTTCCATTTTCTAGCACTGTAATTCTTGTTTTCATAAAACAGGTGAGATGTTTTGGGCTGCTTCTTTTCTTCTTTTTTGATGATCTGAATGTCTCAGATACAAGTTTATTTTCTGCTGAAGAATTATTAAAACTAGCTATTTATTGTTCAGTGCATCAGAGCAAACTTGAGGTATTCTTTCTTTAAAAAAAAATAAAAATTAAACCATCTGTAGCTCCTCCAAATTTTGTCTCTTTGCTATGGTTTTGGTTTCTACTTTGTATCTACCTTTACCCTGCTTTTGCCCTGAGCTTGGAATTCACAGGGCAGCAATTCCAACACAGATTATACTTGGTCTCAAGACAAAAAAACTTCTTAAAAAGCTTCATGCAACTCAAATTCACCAATGAGGACTGTAGAATGTAATAGTTGCTCCACCCATTATTCAAAACCCAGTCAGAACATTTGAGAAAACATTTGAGCTTCCTCTTTCTAACATGCACACAGACAGAAAGACCTTTTTTAAGTTGCTCAACAGTTTGTTACTGTTTCAAGATCACCGTACTGATCATAAATAAATAATCATTGTTTTCTAAACAGTATCTTTTGTCTTCCATGTTTCTTCGAGCCTGATCCATGAATGTCACCTATTCATAAGGCATGGGCTGATCTCTGTACTGTTCCGTGTGCCCTCACTGACTATAGTATTCAGATTCAGGCTCAGAATTTTTAGGCTTTATACTCTAGTCGTCTACAATTTCTACGTCTACTTTCTACAACTCTGCCATTATCAATGCTTTTTGTGGGGCAGAAAGTACTGGAGATTTAGAAGAGAATCCATTGCCTGGTTGCGTCCACGACCTGTAGTCAGACATCCATTTGCCCTGTATTTCCCAGGAAGCCACACACCTAGGATTTTCTATGCTCCCAAACCTTTCTTGCCTCTTGCCTCCCACACTCCATCAGTCAGACACACACCGAACTCCCCACACTGAGCTGGGATGCCTCTGTGACACTGAGCTCTGGAGAACTGGCAAAGGCAGACCTGCAGAGGAGTTTGATGTGCAGGGTGAATTCTTCCTGAAATTAGCAACTGTATCTAAGACTGAGTAACTTTTCTATACCTTGAAACTTCCATCAAGCAAGAAAACTTTGAGACCCTTCAGGAAAATTTAACAATTCATTCTGGAAGCAAAAACATAGTTAATGTGGGGAGTTTGGGTTGGCCAATACAGATGGGGAAATTATATCTGTTCTTTCAGTTGTTTCAGGGAAATTAAAACAAAGCCTAAAATAAGAAAAAAAAATAATCAAACAACAAAATCCAAACAAAACCAACAATAAATTAAAAAAATAATTAAGGGCTTTATAATAAATAAAAAAATAAATAAATAAATGTTTAATTTCACTTTTTTATGATCTGTAAGATCAAAGGGTGGATAAAAGATGTCAGTTAGAGGCAATGGCCCTTCACTCTGTAAGAGGACTGTCTATAAACATGACTCAGTCTCAAGAGACGGGATCTAAACTGAGCTAGGAAGCAGGCAGTCTATGCCTGCATCTTAAGCAATACTGATGGAGGGAGGTTGCCTGTAAGCCCAAAGGGTTGTCTCGAGGCAGAGTGCTCCTCCCCACTCAAACTCTGTAAAAAGGAGGCACTGCCCTTCCTATTTGTTACCACCTCCGCCACCCTCCAGAGGGAAGGGTTGTTCCCTCTTCACCCTTGTAATTTTGCTCCCAGGAAGAGTTTTACAGTCTGAGATAACCTATTGCTGAAGCTGCACATTGCTAAACAGTAAATCTGTTGCTGAAATCAATACAATGCAAACCCAATTATCTTTATGTAGAATATTTTTATTATTATATTGACAGTCTCTGTTAAATTAACCTGGGCAGTCCAAGCACATTCCCAAGGAATAGATCTTTTTCCTACACTACACACAATAATGGGAAGCGTGAAACAAACTCAGAAAAACTTTATATTGAGGAGATACAAGTTTCAGTTACCAATGTGTATGGTACAGTAAGGTATGTATGCCATAGGAAATAATTAGATGTTAAAAATCATCTGCAATTCTTTTCTATGGGATACTTACTGATGAGTAAACTCTGACTGCTTGACAGTCCTGTTGTGGGGAGGAACAGTGGCTGGGAGGTATTTCTCTGGATGATGTCTGCTAGCAATTAATACTTGCCCTGGTGCTTGCTCTTGTTATCATCACTAACTTGGAGTCACTGGCTGTAAGGGATTTATCCATTACCCTGGTTCCAGGTTCTTCCAGCAGCTGTTGCTTCAGGGAGCCAAGAAGCAGAGTGGGAGGGCAGGAGTGGGCTCCATGGTGTTTCCCCTCCATGTGTTTATAAAGTATGGTGCAGGAAGAAAACACAAACATCATCAATGTTTATGCTGAAGGCTTAAAGGGCATGTGGGCTGTGCTGCAAAGCTGCTTTGTGGGCTCTGTGCTGTGTGTGCAAGTAGAGGAGATGGAGATACTTGTGGCTTTGTGGTTGAGGTTTTCAGTTTCCTTTGCCACATGCCAGCCAGGCTTTGAAGATGGCCCACAAAGATTTTCATCTGTAAAAGGGCACCTACACATATGTGCATCTAAATGCAGACATGCACACTCATGCATAACCCTACAGAAACTTCTGGAAGGAACAGAACTGACTGTCTTTTACAAGCCCTTTGTCCAGGTGCTTATGTCTCTTGCTCTCCTGCCTCTAAGGCTGCTGTGGTTCCACGTTCCCAGGGGTGATTGCCAAACCCAGTGTGCTCTGACTGCTTGCACGATTTGCTGCTTGCTGCAACAAGGTTGTGCTGGATGGATTTTTTCAACTCCAGTCTTTGGAGTAACCCTGTTGAGGGACACAGAAGAGTTCATTGCTTTTGCTCAAGTGGTGCAAAGCAGTTAAACATGATCCCAGCTGGGGCTGGGATCCTCAGCTCTCTTTTACAGCCTCAGGGATTTGTGGTTTGGGTTTGTCTCTTTAAGATATTATGCAAATAGAGAGTGCTGATATGAGAAGATGAAATAAATGTTCAGGTGTTTTCCCATGCTCTGGGAGTAAAAACACCTCTAAAATCAATAGAGAAACAGATTTCATATAACATGTTTACAAAAATTAGGGGATTTGCTTTAGGAGAGTGTATTTTTCATTGCTAGTCATCTGACTGACAAAATATTTCTCCGTTTTCTGTTCATTATTAATTGCAGGTTTTAATAATCAGTTGCACTATTTCTACAGACAATTTTAGCTGTAAACAAGTATTGCTTTTCCTCAGTTCATAATTCCCACCACTGGACTGGTGAATGGTCTTTTCTGCTAAGTGGTCTGATGCAATTTTTCCCTGACTGAACAATTTAGGATTCCTCCACGTACTCAGCTCTTACATGCACACACACGCATTAACATACACACGCATGTATACACAAGTGAATATATAATTTACCATCAAAACTGAGACACTACTAAATTCAACACCAGATACATTTTAATGCACCTTCCTCCCTTTCATCAGGAGGATTCTGAAGCACAGGTTTAGATGACTGTGTTCAAGTGATAGAAACAGGAAAAAATGTGTCATAGTTTAATTAAACAGGGTCTTTGTCTTGCCTTTGATTCTGCTGAGGACAAATCCACATTCCTTTCAAAAAAACTAGGAGCAGAAGCAAATAATATGCAAATAATGAGAGTCATACAGACTATTTGGGAGGGAGCCTCTGGGAAGTGGGAAATATGTTCACAGGCATTGTTTGCTGCTGGTATTCACAATGCCAATTGTCTTCTGGAAATGTTATTGCAATTAAAAACTTGCTCAGACAAATGAAGTGAATCAGACAGTGCTTATTTACAAGAACATTTGGAATGAATAATATTTGGCATAATTTCTGAAGGCTGACAGTTATGAAACCTCTTCCTTCTACAGATGGCTTTTGCATCTTTTTATAGTATTCTTTTACTGGCCAGCCAAAATATGAACTTGTTTCCCTAACTAGGAAAGCAGCAGTCTCCAGCACATACACATAGGTATGTGAGCATAAGCATAATATACTTAAATATTGCCTATAGGAAACCCACAGGATGAAACAAAGGTATGTCTGTCTGGGAGGTACACCAGACTCCCTTCTTCACCTGTCACAGAAAGTGCCTCCAAGCCAGCACAAAAATTGAATTCCCAGGACTGAAAACATTTTTCCCCTTTCAATATGGAACTATAAAGTGGATTCCACAAGAGGGAGCTCAAAACCAAATAATCTTTCATGAAGCAGACTCTTAAACTCATGACAGAATAAAGTGGAGTATGTGCTACATGCGTCCCTTATCAACCAGAAGAGGTGGCTGTGTTGCCGTGTGCTCTGTCTCCCATTGTGATGGCTCTTCTTTGTATGGGAACATCAAGTCGTGCTTCAGGGCTTTGTAAAGACTGACAAAGGATTCAGCCCAAGCGTCTTTCTGGTGCCCCTGGGACTGAGCCGCCCTGTAGGCTGTGTAGACCATGGTCAGCACTGTCCTTTCAAAGTCTTCTTTCTTGAGAACCCTTGGGTAAGAAGACAGCCTGCTACTCAGCCTGCGGATCTCTGTGATGCTCTTGGGGATGATCTCGTTGCAGATGGTGTCAAATTCAGCAGCCTTCCTCAGTGAAGCAAGCTCCTCATCTTTGATGGAGATCCTCTGACTTTTGTCAATGTCAAGCTCAGCTAAAAGAAACTGGTACAAAATCAGAACACAGAAAGCTATTTATCTTCTTCAAGAGACTCTAGGCAGAGTAAATGTGAATTAACAACATGTTCTTAAGCCTTTACTTTAGGTCAAATGGACACAAAACTCTCATTTCACTGACTGACAGTAGGGAGGACCAGAAAGTCTCTTCGTGAATGTTTGACTAGTAAGTTAACTACCTGTGAAAATTAGAGATAGGCTATGGGGAAAGGAGAGAGGAAAAAGAAAAAGTAGATAGTTTTCTGTTGCCAACATGGGCATGGGTTTCTGCTGGTGTCATATGGGTACTAGAGAGGTGGAGGCAACAACACAGCTGGGAAAAGGGCATTTACCCTCCCAGTGGTGGCCTAGCTCTGTGCGCGAAAGCACAGCAGTGGCTTCTTAGCTCATCTCCCCTCTTTAGACATCCAATCCCAATTTCCCAAGGTGTGGGATATATAGATTTGACCCATGCACCTGCTTTTGGTGGACCAATTTCCCTTAGCTAACCACGTGGCAGTTTCAGACTGCATGACATCTGCAGTCTCCACTGCTGTTAATCCTGAATAATTTTGAATTGAAACAGTCATGCCCTTGGGATTACTCTGCAATGACTGATGCTCATGGCTTTAATGATTGGAACAAATAATTTCGGACTGAGTCTTAGGCCAAAGAGTTTAAACACATTATGTTGTTAATATGTTACTGTTTTGGAAGAAACTTGTTTTCAGTGGAAAGTCATTTGCTCTGGTTTTCACTTTTTTTGGTCAGTGAGCTACAACCCACATTTGAAGCAACTGTTGCCTGCTTAACTGTTGAAAGAGCCAAGTCTGTCATATTTATTTTCATTCCCTCCCTTCTGGTGAGCTATTATATAGCCAGTAAAGCATTAACTGTTAGGATGAGTAAAAGTGTCTTGAAGATAGATAATGGATAACCCCAGTATGGACAGTAACCCCAGTCTTGGTCAGGGCTTATGGTACCATCTCCTCCCAGATACTGAACCTCATAAAGCAGGACCACATCTTCCAGTGAGTTTTGTAGCACTGGGTTAAAGAAGGCAGCTGAGGACCTCTTGAATCGCTGAGCAGCTGGGAAAAGCATAGCTGGAAAATAATAATGGGAAAAGAGAGGTTCCATAGGGTGTCAAACACAGAAAAGAGGAAGCACTTTTCAATAGTAGATTCAACAAAAGAACTGCCTCTTGCAAAGACTTACTGTACAGTATGACTTCCCACAGTGAATAAAATTAGTGGTATGGACTGCTTTGATTAAAGTCTACTAGGGATGAAGGTTAGCTGTTTGTTCTGTATCTATACAGTGTCTAACACAGAGTAGTTAATAATCCAAGCCTAAGAGTCTGAGGTACAACCACAGTGTAAGGAGTAATAATGATAACTGCAACATCAACCTTGTCTGAAATACATGTTCTTCTCCTGGCTCTGCAACGGGCAAATACTGACCCTCAACATAGCCTTCTTTCTTCAGGCCATTTTCCTGCTAACACACTTCTAAGACCCTTCATTTCCCCTGGTTTTAGCTGTCTAAATGTTGAAGCCTCCTTAGTTGATAGAGACTCCAGAGAGTAGATCACCTCATCTGTTCTGGGCATATATGTCTGGAAGGAGTGACTCATCCTTTGGAGGTGCCTATGTCTATTAATTGAGCCCATTGCCAGCTTAGATGAGACAGATAAATGCAGTGAGGTGAATCCCAATTTATTATGACTTTAATACTTCACAGTGTTATAGCTAGAAACAACAAAGTCTTCTACAATCAGGTATTTATTCACCACTGTGAAGTGTCCTACAGGTATAGCTTCAGGGTTATGAGACAGAAAATGTATGTATTAGCCTCTGAACTCAGCACTCCAGTGAGGTAAAACATTTGTGAAATCAATGACTTGTACAGTCTGGAGTGTAGAAAACATCTAATACTACATTACCGACCATCTTATTAACTAGGTTATTAACCAGGTAACTAGTTACCACTAAAAGGTGTTTGTTCCTTTCAGAGTGAAGAGAAAAACCCTGTTTTGTTTAATGTTATGTGTAAATGATTTAGATGTTCATGTTTAGTTAACCATAGTTTGCATTTGTTGGATCATTTTTCTAATACTCATGAACACGAAGTGTGTTTTAAAACTGCTTATATGACTATCTGTGGATTTCCTCATAAACTTAATTTCTCAACTTTAACTGTTGTTACCAATAGATAAATTTGGAAACTCATTTTAAAAATGAAAATAAAACCCCACCCCACACCTTTTGAAAGGCATTGACTCTGTAGCCTAAATGCAGCTCTGTTTCCTGGGCTGCTGCCAGCTAATTGACTTTGTTGAATTTTGACTTGTTAATGATATTTAAGTTCAAGTAATGCAAGAAGAAAGAAACCAGCCCCTCAGAGATAGTGTTAATTAGGACCTTTAATGTCTGACATAAGGGAAGTTAATTGGGATAATAGAAGGTATGAAGTAATTGACCCAGCAAAGGGTATTTCAGCCTTGGAATAGCTAGGGAATATACTATAGGTAAAATAGTTTGTTGCAATAAACATACTGCAATGAGATATTGCTATCTGTAAATACATCCTGCATGGATAGATTTCAGGCGTTTTGGTAAGACACCTAAAGAGCTAGGCAATTTCTATTGGATCTGTGTGAATTTAGATTAAAAACTTGGTTAAATAACCAAATTGTATTTGTAGATTATGTAACTAAAAGCCTGAAGGGGAGAATGCACCTAGTAAAAAAACAGAGGTGTTGAAAAGGGTTTTGTCTCTGCAGTAGTCTTTCCCAGCATGATACCTTTACCACCAGAGAACCTTGTCTGGCCCAGCTAAGGTGGTGGTGAGTTTGGGGTAGGTCAGAAGCTGCCTGCAGGTTCTGCTCTGCAAGGTTGTTTGCCTGGCTGACCACTGGCAGCTAAGACTATATTCATCTTATGCTGCTTCTCCATCATTGATGTTTACCCATCTTGCTCTGAGTTTTGCTGAGACATACTGCTGAGTCTGTTCCATCTTTCATTCTTCAAGTGTGCATGTTCAAGAATGCAGATAAGTGCATGTGAAGCACTTGAAACTTCAAGTGCTAATTACTGAGTAATTATTACTCAGCTAATTGCTGAGTACCTCTATATATGCATATGGTTTGCACCTCAGATATCCCCTTAGCCATGGAAAAGGTGTCTTGCTTCAGTGCTGTCATCCTTATTGTCATCACATAAATTGCTTTTAGCATTCAGGCCAAGTACAGATTCCAACCATGACACTGAGCTAGGAGTCATCAGATTTAGACCACATACACTCCCCTAGAAAAGCCTCAGTAAAGGATTCACACAAAAAGTAATGTGTCCTGGTTTGAGCCAGGATGAAGCCAATTTTCCTTTTACTAATTTTTTTTTTTTTTTCCCCCCTTCAGTAAGCTTTCTTTTAACTAGTAGCAGAGTGTTCCAACTGAGACTGATAATGCTGGGATGTTTTTCTAACTGCTGGGTCCTTAAGGTCACACCATTACTCTGCTGGCTCAAACCAGGAAAGAGTTCCATGTTATCCATTTAATACTGACCCGCTTGCTGAATCACAGGTATCACCTCAGAAGACAGGTGGGTTATCCTACCCAGCTATTCCCAGGATTACAGGGATTAGGTTAGGATATGCAAAGGGACAAGAGCCTGAGCTGCTATATTGTGAGAAAGGACTTTGTATGTGTATCAGAAACATTTAATCCTTTGTAGGCACCAGGCTAGAACTGATTCCCTGATTTCATTACCGTGTTCTCAAAATATATAAAACTTTGATACAATTTTTCAAGACTCTACTCTGAAACTCTCTCAGAGCTCATTTGTGTTTGTCACAGTGATCTGATTTTCCTGATCCATGTCTTGTTTCAATCCTTCCCTTTCTCTCTGTTCCTGCACAGTAGTCAATTCCTTCCACCATCACTCACTCCACAGTTCTCCCCCTGAAATCTCAAGTTCCTCTGAAATAGTGTGAGCACTTACAGCAAGCATTCTCTGTGTTTCATTACACTGTCTTACCACATATGTAAGTTGAGTACAAAAGCTGGGATACAGTTTCGCAGCCAATTCCTGTATTTAGTGATTTCAAATTCCACTTTAAGTTTTCTGCTGACTTGACTTCTTCATGAATTTACTTCTATCTCTGACATGAGTTAGCTGGGTAGTATCAAAGAACAGCAAGAAGTATTGCTGTGACTTAGCAGTTTCCTGTAAAGCTATCAAGCAGTTATTTCATAGGAAGATGCAGAGCAATGTGAGTCATTTATACTGATGTTGCAGCCAAGTCATTCCAATGGCAGCAACTGTGAATGTCAGTGGAGCAGAGATCACTAATCATTATGGATAGAGAAAGCCCAATGCAGTGATCTCTGAAGTCAGTGAAGAGACTCCTATTGATTTATTGGTTTTACTTTTCTTACAAAAGTGTCAAGATGTGTCCAGTGGAGATGTGGGTTCTTCTATTCTAAAAGGCTGAACAGTCACATAACAAAAAAGCTTCTGATCCACAGAGATGAACTAGGAAAAACAAGGTTTCAATTATCCTTACTGAAACAATTTTTTATTATATCTATGCACTAACTGATGCATCCTCTTCCAAATCTATTCCTCAGAAGGGCTTTATGAGTGCTCCCTGATCTGACCTCCCTTGCTGCCCGCTGAGACCTCAGGGCTGGAGGTGGATGGAACAAGTGTGTCTGAGTGCAACCACCCGCTCCCAGCCCACCTGCTTGACCATGAACATCCCCATCCTGTGCCCTGGAGTGCACTACTGCTTGTGCCTGAAGACAGTGGACAGGTTAGTTCTAAGGGCTACAAGTGCCCATTAAAATCTGGTGCAGGACTCCCTGTTTTCTCTGTTTCTCACTGCAGGAGTCCATCTCTTCTATGGCTTAGTTGACTCAATCCCACTTGTCTTGAAGGACTCCCCAGGTTTTTTAAGAAAAACTGAAGCTGTATTTGCCAACTTGCTGGTCTGCTTCTAAATATTTAGCTCATGACAACTCAGAAATTTCTGTATAGTTTAAACCTAATATCACATCTCAGGCTGGTAATAATTTTATTTAAAAAATAGTTTCATCTTTTTTAAGAACTGTGCCAGAATTTTCTGAACCTTATCAACCACGTGATAAACATTTGTGATCCTTGCTCAGATTTTCCATGCAATTTCACTGCTGAGCATACAGATGTTAGGTTTTACTTTCCAGTCCACACTCCTGCTGATGATTTCCCAATTGCTACCTGTGATGTGTTTGCTGAATAAGTACAGAGCATAGCTGTAGAAACACTCAATTATTTTTTTGCATCATCAATGCCCCTTTATTCCTCTATGAAAAGGTATGAAGCCAAGAGTATGAATCAGACCCTGTAGGTACAGCTCCCTGGGGTTCCAGAACATGAACTCAACTTAACTGGGGTCATGATTCAAAATAATTTTTTTTGGTTGACTTCAGGAGCAGGGGAAAGGATTATCTCATTACTTCAGTGAGATCCCTTTCATGAAGGACAGGAGGAGAAGAGGAACAAGAACTTGTTGGCCAGAACTCCTGGTTCTCTGCAATCAAAGCAAAGGAGAGTCACCTGTTGACACAGGGGGAGGCAGTGGCTAGCTGCAGATGCCCTATAAGCCAAATTCAGACAGCAGGCTGCCAGCTGTGTCCTCCTGTCTTAGATTACTATGGCCTGACTCTAAAGAACCCCCTGAAAATCAAATATTACAACATTGGCTTCCTGGGATTCTGGAAATGCAGGGCAGGGAGCTGTTGCACAGGCAGCAGCAGTTCCTGTTCTGTGATGAACCTAAACAGGAAAAGTGCTCTCTGAAACTCTTTTATGTGTTCCAGTGTCAAGGTTTAATGCTGGGCCAGCAATCAGACAAATCCAGTTGAAACATGGGTGAATAGGGCTCTGCAAAACCATGTCCTCACAGACCACCACAACCATCTTTTTACTGCAAGCTCACAACCACCCTATAGTAATAAGAAACTGCTACAAGCTCAGCAGTACACACAGCCTGATTCCTCACTGCAGAAGTTTCCCTTTCCTGCTCTAAGCTTTTGAAGTCAGGAATCCTAGATCTAAACAGAAAG